AGAGTGAATTATAAATGTTTGAAAGTCAGTGATTTTTTGACTAAGATCATCAGGTAGTTTTTGACTGATCTTAGTGCGACGGCGAGAAGAAAGATTGTGCCTTTTTAAAAACTGATAAAACCAAGATTTGGAAGCGCGAAATTTATTGGAAGCATCTGGATAAGTGTTTGCACAAGTTGTTGTGAGAATGGTGGTCATTTGCATCTTGATAGCTCCTGCTGTTACGGCAATTCCAACAAGACGAAGCTCATTTATCCATTTAACAAGTTCTTCTTCAGCATCAGGATAGGCTGATGTCCTCCCGGCACCAACGCGTCAGTTCTTTGATACTGCGCTGGCAAACTTTTTCTCATTAGGCATCCACCGGGATACCATCGACTGATCAATACCGAAACAACGCGCCGCGGCCAAGATGCCAATCTTCTTAGCTTCACAAATAATAGTAAGTTTGTCAGACGCTTTATATGAAGCTCTTTGTAAGCGGGTTTTAATTTTGGGTGGCATGTTGCTAATATTAGCAAAAGTATCGCTCATTTTTATATTGATAAGGATAATAGAAAGAAACGCGTAAGCGGACGCGAAGAAAATGTAGAAAGACTGGGAGAGTCAGGGGTATTGGAAATTTTTCGTTGATCTGTGTAATGGCTGTGCGATGTAACAGTCAATGCGTAATGAAGATCTGAATTCTCCACTATTAAATGCCTTTTCTCTGTCAATGAAATTCCTAAGACGAACGGTCAATAAATTAATAGTAACGATCGGGCAACAGGCGCGATCAAATAAATTTAGCATTTTGGCCAATAAGAATTAAGCATTTGGATAGGGCCCGAAAATAAGCAACCCTCCTCAAAATTCGGTCCAAAATTGATGACGTAGGGGGTTGCTTATTTTCGGGACTTTACGGTATATTTTCTTACATGTTCAATATGTATTTCAAGTCAGATGAAAGAGATAAGATAAATAACTAAAGGTGATGATATATGTTTATTAAATACTAAAATACTAGTCAGCTAGAAAGTGACTTAAGAAATCTTCTTATAATTTAATATGTATATTATATAATAATTATGACAATAGTTTATAGACAAATAAAATATTATAATTTTAGTTTATTAAATCATTTTAATGATATAATATCACAAATATATAAGAGATCAAATAATAAATATGATATTACAAATGTGTAAGAGATCATCAATATAATATTATAAATATATAAGAGATTATAACAAAATTAATATAAAATTTATAATTTAAATAATAAAATAATAAAAGGAATTATATTAATATTCTAATTGTATTAATTTTAAAAGAACATTATTATCAAAGGAATTTATTTTGAGTTATTAATATTTTATAAGAGCTTGACTTTTCTAAACTAAAATACATGCTTCTTTTATAGAAAACTATTAAATTGAAACTATTAATGATATTCACAAGAAAATTGCTTATTCACTCACTTGGTTACTTGCTTATTCACTTATCTTGTGATCTAATATAAATATAGATCATACAATATAATATAAATAAATGATCTATGTAATATTTGTAAATAATAATATAAATAATAATATAAATAACGTAATATGAGAATATAAAATGATGTAAATATAAAAATCTTAACTAAATAAAATATAAACATGTGTTTTCAAAATTATTCAATAAGATCAAATATAATTTTGACTAATAATTAATGTGAAATTCCATTATACAACAATACAAAAAGCTTATTATATTAATAAAAAATTAACTTTTATAGTATTATATTTAAAAATTCTATTTATTATTTTTAGTAATTAGCAAATATTCTTTGATTTTTTGTATTTTAACTTTAAAAAATACATGATTTTAATAAAGTACGTATTGGAGATTTTTTTTATTATATCACTTTTATTTTTATATATTACAAAAAAGCTAGAACAAATTTTTAGTCATGTCAAAACACAAAAAAAATGCATCAGTACTAAGAGAAATCATTGTATACATATTTTTATTTATTTATAGGACTGTATTAAATGTTGCTTGCCTATTAATTACACCCGTATTAGGGATTGGACAATTTTGGATAAATGATCAAAATTGTCCAAACCAAAAATTATCAAGAAATTTTGGACAATTATGTAAATAACGTGATTTGATTACCAAATATAATCAGTATTCAATAGATATATAATACAGCCGTAAAACCTCTCTAGGTGCATCCTCTATAAATGCACGCACTATATAAATTCTCTCTAAATGCGACACATATATATTTTACTCTATAAATACACACTCTCTCTAAGTGCCACTCTGTCTGTTTTTTACTATGGGAGGGTGCACTTAGAGAGGTTTTACTGTACAATCAAAATTAAAAATTGTCTTTAAACGGCAATATCTTCACTAACGCTAATGTTTGATCAGAAATATCGTCGTTTTACTATATTAAGATATTATGAACATTGCTGCGTCATTTGAACAAACCAAAATTATTTTGGACTAGTCCAAAATTGTTCAATGTCCAAGAATTACACGTGTGAAATTTTATTTCTATCAAGATCAAATAAAAAATTAACGATTTTAAGAAAAGTTAATTGACCGATACTGCTTTAAATTAATCTTGTTTCAACCAAAATAATAACTTAATATTCGGTCCTTATTGTTTTTCTTAACAGACGCACATTATCGTTATTCATAGAATTTTTAACTTTTAAACGAAATATTATTTTTAATTATGCTAGATAAAAAAAGAAAATCAACAGACTATCTGCAATGATTTTAAATGGTGTCAATCATGCAGTCGACATTTATATTGCATGATATTGCATATTTGAGCACAAACGCATATATAACCAATCTACATTTCGAATTCTGAACGTGTTCACTTTATAAATGATATCTCTTTTGCTTATTTCCCAAAATTAATATAAAAATGCTCTAAAATTAATAGGCATGCATTTCATAATAGATTATCAAATGTTCGATACCAGGAAATGATATTAGTTAATGTTTAAAAATACGATCAAATTATGTTGTCAGAAAATTTTTCAGCCAAACAAGCACAATGAATTGTATAATTTGATTAGTTGAATGACGACATACACGTTTTTTATAGTGTACCAATACGTAAATTTTTATGCCCCACGTGAGTTAATTAATGTTTATGCATAGAAAAAGCACGTTCCATACTTTTAATAGTTTTACAGATTTATTATTCATACATTGTCAGTGATACCAACCACAAATCTCGTAAATTTCAAATCTCGAATTTTTTTTGCAATCTCCTGAACGAGTGATCATATTTTAATTAATTAGCCACTTTATTTACGCCCGATTTGCCACAGTGATAACTAGCAAGCAAGATACATGTAATTTGATTCGATAAAAATTGTCGCGTATTTATCTCGACAATGATTGCAGGGCTATTCGCGTTATATTTCGTTGAAAATGATTCTATGTGCAAATTTTACAAGAGATAAAAATTAAAGGTGAAGTCATAATAGATATATTAACTTAATAGACATTTATAAAATGGTTGTATTTTTTTTGATTTCACGATTGCATTTATATAATGATCAAATTTTAAAGATGGTACGTATATATTTGTAATTGGGCGTTAAAGAAGATAATATACTAAGCAGCTATGAGCCATTATTACCAGGTTTATCAGGCGATTCCATTTTGTTTAGTTTTATCGAGACAAAAATTTCCAAAAAGGGTTGTTTGTTTAATTTAATTTCTCTTGTTGCTTGCAGTATATGTGGGGAGTCGTGAAACAAAACTTTAAACTTTTTTTATTTAAAGAACAATTAAAGTATAATATACAATATACTGTACTGTATATATAATGATAAAAATCTGTCTTTGACTTGTTGGATTGTATCTCGTATGCTGATCTCACTTTTTGACACCCTTTATTAAATTTTAAAGTAAAGCTTATATAAAGCTATGCCATTTTTGAAGTAAACCATGTGTACTTTTATCAACACCCAAAAGAGGATGACGAAAATAGAATAGAAAACACATTGATTAAATCCCGTCTGGTTTAAACTTGAAATTCAAACAAAGAATTAATAATTAAATGATCCGAATTGTTTTTTGGGCGCTAATAAAAGATTTGCGTCTTTACCATTTTTGAAGAGTCTTGTGACAACATGTGGGTGGTTGATTAGGGAGGTGATTGGTGGTTTTTTGTGTGATATACTGATTAGGCGCTAATGTTTACTATTACACGTCAAAAATGGCTAATTTTGTATTCCTGCTGCGAGGTTCTGCTTAGATAAAATGTAAAGTGTTGGACGTGATATTTTTTGGATAGTTGTTGGAGTGATATAATGTATTAACCAATATTTATCAGTGAAGATTCAGAAAAAAATTTCAGCCACAAAGGATGCATTATATGAACCGAACCAATCAAATTTTCGAAAAAATAGGAGATGTTTAGCTCGTGGTTTTGTGAGAAATGAAAATCAAAATTCGAATTTTTTTTAGGGATACATAAAAGCCTAATTAATGCATGTGCAATAATATATAGCCAATATAAATAAAGTCTATACTATCAATTATTGAGCCTTGATATATTATTTATTATTTATTATTGAAATATAATGAGAAAATGATCCAAAAAAAAACATCATTATAATTTTTCTGATAAAATATCCCGCTAGTTTAGCGCATCACCAAAAAAGTAAAAGAACGCACAGCACCAATAATAAATCGTGAGAGTTTACTTTAACGTACACAACTTGGAAAGACAATAAAAATGAAGCGTCCGAATACCCAAACTCAAATATTGATAATATTAATGGCGAAAATCATGCAGGCAGATGTACACAGAAAATGTGTTTTAATCAAAACTCTCTATAAATATCAGCCTAGATGACTGACACCGCTTGTTTTTTTCTTTGCAAGTTATGATATATATTAGAGTGGCAGACCCCCCATTAGAAATCTTTTGAGGGGACTTCTTCCTACCTTTTCACCATTCACGCCAACCTTCTTCCTCCTAACGTACTTAATCGATGGCACACACTAAAAGCCATAACAACAATCTCGCGACCAACAGTACTACACAAGGTGCTTGGTCCGAACAGGTAAATACAAGCAAAAATAAATTGAATCATAATTTTGTGTTTTTAAAACATTCTTGTTTGAATTTATAGGAAATTGCGCGTCTTTGTGAGCTATACAATAAATTCCCCCACCAATGGGCGGAACTTGCTCGACGATTTGACACCAGAAATCCGAAGCAGTGCAGGGACAAGTAAGTGTTTATTAATGCTACTTTTGCTTTTAGAAAAGATCAAACTATATTTCTAGTTTTAATTTTTATCATTAATATTTAATTCTAGATGGATGTCACACCTAAGGCCCAACAGTAAGTAATAACATCAAAGTAATAATAGTAGTAATATGTTTTCTTTAAAGTAATAATTAATATAATTTTCTAATTATGAAAATTAGTTCAAAAACGTCCATTTACCGAAAATGAAAAACGTGCCATCATATCGATGTACCTTCGATATGGCCCCAGTTGGACACTAATAGCAAGCAACTTACCGGGGCGTTCGGCACTCATGGTGAAGAATTTCTGGTATAATATGGACGAGAGAGTGCGAATCCGAGTTAAGATGTCCATAGCTCGATTAATTTAAGTTTATGACTTACCATCAATTGATGTGTAAGGATAACATAATTTTACGAAGATTCAATATGCAACACAAAAAAACATATTAAACATCTACGCATTCGTTTATACATTTTATAACTTCGTGTACTTTTTATGAAAAATTGCGATTTTAAGACAGGTCGGCCGATTTTCTGTATCTGTTCCAACTGTTTATTATATATTCTTCTTTTTTATGGTTTATCTATCGTTTAAATTTCGTCGGTTTTTTAGTAGGCACAGCAATGAATCACCTAATTACGTTTTCGTTAGCTTTTCTCTCTATTAAGCGGAGGGAGAGGAAGCATATTATAAAATATTATAGATTTCGTTAAATGCTTTTTAGTTCGTTAATCGTTATAACCGTAGTAATTATACACAGTACTAGTACTTATTTTCATGGTAAGCGGCCGCCAGATCCTATCTCTTTTTATAATTTTTTATTCTAAAAATAAAAATAAAAGCTTCTACTATTTTATCAAAAGATTTTGGTGCCATTCTTGTTTTTTGTTTCGCCTAGAATTAAAAAGTTAAATATCCCACGTGCTTAGTAAACCGTTTCTATTGGTGCACGATGGCGTGCATCTATATTTATTGCCGAATTATGTAATCAATTTTCAATTTGCATAATTCTGAATTTTAGATTACCTAATAAATCTGGTTTTATAATAAATCATATCTAATATACAGAACATGTACAGTATCAAAATATATTATCGTTATCTTAAAATTGTTAGAGCTATACACATGTCAATTAAAGCTTAATCAAGTTATTTTTTAGTATATTGATTGTGGGGGATCATGAAAAACGGATTATGTGAAAATTTTGGCCAACATTGTGCAGATCATGCGGATCATTTGGCCAGAATTATCGACAATTTCTTATAATAAAAGAGCAATATTTTAAAAATAATGATAAATGCATAAATATATAGCTTAAAATAATTTTCAATAGTGTTTATACTATATAAATTTATGAGTATAATTGTTCTTTATAGTTTATTATAATATATATTTTTTCACCATGACCCCCCACCTTAAATATATTCCTTTCTTCCGCAACAAAAGAAAGTTGATAATTAGCCATTTTCATTTCTGAATTTAAATATTGATTGTCCTAGCGGTCATCAAGGTTATCATGCCGATGCTGCTTTAACTATTATTGTGGGCGAGGGAGATAAAAAAAGAATTTACTAAATGTGACCAAAAATTAAATCTAAGTATGGATTGTGCATTAAACACTTGAATGTACAATTTTAAAATTTTTCCATTGAATTGAAAACCAAATATATACTCAAAGAAACATTTCAATTTATTAATAGTTTTCCTTTCCGCTTAACCTTGAAGATTTTTTTCATAACTCTTTTATTGCTACATTGTATTATAAATGCAAATTTTGTATCGAGATAAAGAGGGCCCGAGCCCGTAACCAAAAAATGAAATGAAGAATTATCCTTTCTTTACAAAAGGTACTCTAAAAAAGATCGATAACAAAATAATTACCTTCAAAAAACGGGTATATCTTTCTTGACTTAAATTCGAGTTATTAATGCAAGTGATTTTCTTATTGATCGTTTTTTAAATAAAATTTCATGTTTACATTCAAAAGAATTCGTTTCACATTGCAAGATAGCAATTAATATTTGTTTCTTACATATTTGAGAATAAGTTTTGACATTATGCATCTTGCAGAACATATGGGATAAAATTTTTGGAAAAAACTCTTGTTAGAAACAAATACATCGACGAAATTCAAAATTATTTGTGAACGGCGCAAAACTCACTTCTGTAGAATTCAGTAATAATGGAAACTGAATTAGCATAGATGGTACAATCGCTACAAAGAATATTCTAATTAACATTTGACGTTGAGCTCAATTACTTTATGTGGATTTTTTTCTGTGGAATAGTGGATTATTTCTCTCAATCCGAAGTTCTTGGTTTTTAAAACTTCGAATAGATGAATGTAATCTCCAATCATCTGGCGGAAATTTTAATAATAAAATTCCACAATTTCGTATGCCAATATAAACCGCAAATGCTACCAAATTGGTAGATATATTTTTCAAAAAATCCAATGCCTGATTTAAGATTTTAAGCCCGACGTCCTCAAAATTGGGCACAATAATATTGATTTTTTTAATAATAGTCTCAAAAACATACAGTAGGTGCCATAGTATTCGGAATTCTGATATAATGCATAGCATAACGAAAAATTTAAATGTCCTTTTTACAAAATTTATTATTAATTACAATAAAATCTGTTGCGAGAAAAATAAGGGTGACGAGAACGTGTTTATAAATTTTGATGACATTTTATACAAATATAACATTTTATACAAACATGTCTTAACGCCTTTCATGGAATTCTAATAATTTTTTATCATAAAATAATAAAAAATCCAAAAACTTACAGTTACTTATGGCGCCTACTGTATGTATCCATTTTGTGAGAATTTGTCGTATTCAACTGAATAATAATGTCAGCAATTGGCGATTTCAATTACATTGATTATCGTTATATTAAAATTATGAACTACTCTTACTATTTTTTCATTTCTATAAATTTCTGTCAACCTTTTCTAACTTTTCCATTATTACCATTATTATATCCATACTTGTAATCAAAAATATCTCAAAATCAACTGTTTCACTCCAGGGAATGGACAAAAATCAGCCACTTGTAAATTTCGGACACGTGATCGTAAATAAATAAGGAACCTGACGTAATTATGTGGTTTTTATTTATATAAAGCATTACTCGTCCATCCACACCTGACATATCTATATATATCAAATCTCTCTATAGTCATTCTCTCTATGGTCTTACCATATAAAAATCCTGCTATAATCATTCTTTTTTCAAGAATCAGTTATAATAAAAGCATCTTGTTATAAGCATATTAATTATAAAATTCTGCTATAAGCACATTCATGAAAAATTACTATTAAATCTAATAGTGTGATTATAAAGTTAATTAACTATATATAGTGGCAATCAGAAATAATGCAACCGCGTCAAAATTTATTAATTAAACATAATAAAATGTGAATTTTTCTCTTTATATAAAAGTTTTCAATTATTTTTATTTTTACATTAAAATGAAGATAATATCACATATTTTAACATATATTTTTTTTAGATTTAATCTGATAAAGCTGTTCTAATCACATATAAAGTCAATTATTTTTTATATGTTTTAATTATAAAAAAATAATTGACTTTATATGTGATTAGAACAGTTTTATCAGATTAAATTTAAAAAATCTGAAAAATATATATTAAAATAATATTATCTTCATTTTAATGTAAAAATAAAAAATATTTATTAGTAAAATTGAAAACTTTTATATAAAAAGAAAAATCCATATTTTACTATATTTAATTAATAAATTTTGATCTTGTTGCATTATTTCTAATTGTCATTATAGTTATATTAATTCAAAATAAAATCAATAATTTAGTATTCATCCAAAAATCAAATAATTTTTGTTAAATTTTTAATTTAATCAATATTAAATTATGAATAACTCTAATTCAAATATTCAAATATCATTTTATTTTTTATATTAAAAATCAACAAAATAAAATTTGAAATTTTTTGAATTAGATTACAAATATTAATTTTTTAAAATATTAAAAGTTTTATTTTTGATAAACTTGCAAATATAGTTAAAGTTTTTTATAGTTACATTTATTTATAGTTATAATCATCCTATTTTGTTTTTCTATTACATATAAATATAATAAAAAATTACTTTATAATTATATTTCTTTTATAGTTATATTTTTTCTATAGTCACAAATTTTGCTTTTTAAGAATGATAATTATAAAATAATTTGAATATATTCAAATTTATTATAATTTATTTTGTAAAATATCTGAAATTTCTTATTAATTATTTTTTTATACAAGATTTTTCAAAAATATATTTTTCTTTATATAATATATTTAAAAAATATTAGTTAAATATATATAATATAAATAATTATCAAATTAAATGTTATATTAAAATTCAAACTCAAAATAATTATTAAACTATTTCAAACAAATAATTTTTATATAAAAATATTTTAAAGTTAAAATATTTAATAAAATTACTTTTTTCAAAAATTATCTTTATTATATATTATTATTTATTATTTTTTTGATTATATAATATAAAATATTATTGAATTCTAAATAATATTTATTTATTTTCTATTTATTTTAATTATTTTTATTATATTAAATAATATTATAACTTATAAATTATTAATTATTTTATTACTTTATTATATTATTTTTATTAATTATTATAATTTTAATTAATTTAATTTATTTAATATAATATTAATATTTTGTTAATTTTATTTATAATACTTAAATTAATTTTGTATTATATTTATTGTTTTTGATATTGTTATATAACAAACTTTAATCAAATATTTTACTGAATCATTTACATTTAATATTATTGGATTATAAATATCTTATATCTTATTAAAAGAAAAATATAATTATGTAAAATGAGCAAATGAACAAGCAAATAAACAAATAAACAAGTAAATGAACAAGCAAATAAGTAAATAAATAAGCAAATATTGGACCAATAGAATTGAAGTAAACTAGTAAATATAAATTCATATAGCTAATGAATTATAGTTTGAATTTATATAAAAGCAACATGTATTATAACTATTAGAACAAGTTCTTCAATAGTAATATTCTTAATTATTATTTTATAGTTAGTTATTATATAGTTTTGATTATTTATACAAATAAAGTTTGCATTTATGTAAAGTAGATAGTCAAGTACAAACTTCTCTCTATATTTCTTTAACAAAGTATTCTTATTTCTTGTATAATTGCTTCAACACTGTTGCTATAAGTATTATATAGAGCTTGAACTAATATTATAGTAGCTTAAGCAAAATTACCAGAAGTATTATAAAAATTATCATCTTAATACTAGGTTATTTGAATATATTTGTGATGAAATCTATTA